CCCGTCAGCCCTGTTCTCACACCATCTGCTGCTGCCTCGACAATCCCCTGCGACCCCCGTTCGGCCGTGCTCTCTCCCCCCGCCATCGCTTCCTGGAACCTCTTACCAATCGTGCTGTCTGCCCCCTTACGAATCGATGGCCTATCGTGCAAGCAGCCCCGGCCCCCATTATTTGCGCCACAACTGGGATGGCACTGCGTCTCTTCGATACGCGCACTCCCTCCGCATACTTAAACGAAAAGTTGCGAGCTGTTATAAACTCCTCGAGAGAAGCTCCTTCTCCTACAAATGCAGTCATAACCCTTGCTCAAACTTCTATACGCATTGATCCAACACCTCTCTGCTCAATTTACAGATAGGCCATTAAAAACGAGCAATCATGAATGCAGACGGCTCTCCCGGCCTATCTTCTCCGCCTTCCGCACCCACAACAGCATGGAAGAGAAGTTCTACAGCAGGCAGACGAGGCGCCCGCCCTCCAACCCTTTCACACGCACTTTCTCACGCTCTATCATGCCTTTCCCACGCTTCTTCATCACTATGATGACACTGCTGCATCCAACAAGGCGCCCTTCAATGCAAAATCGCGCACCCAGGTCGCTGAGATTACAGATTAAGACTGATGCTCACCTTGAACTTCCGGAGAGGCTTTGCTGAGTCTATATGCATCGGGGCGCTACCGTTCAAAGGATCATAGTTTTCGTCATCGGCAGTGGTCTAGAATACACGCAACTTGAGTGTGTTCTCTCTTAATGCTATTGATTCAGAAAACAAGAAAATGACAGACTTTTTCCGTTGGCTTAATGAACAGCGACGATGGTTCGCCTTTCGCGAAAGAATGGCCCGGTATGCGAGAATCGCACACAAAAACGTCACATTCAGGAATCTCCGTCGGACGTTCTGGAAAATTAATCAAGTGTATTATGCAGGCAGAAATGAACGGACAATATAACGTACCTTTTACGAACTCTTTCGGAGTTAGCACTGCACAGTGACTTTGAATGTCCTCGATCCTTCGGGTTTGGTCAGGTTGATCGACAGCAAACACCTGAGCAACCACGTCAGTGTATACACTGAGATCATTTCGTTGTCATTTTTTTTTTCGCAAAGGTCTCATCAATCGATATCATGGCAGACTAGCCATCACATTCATATTTTAGGCGACATAGAGTTTACACCATGAGTTTAGCACCTTAAGGCCATAACACATTTGGAGCCAGAGACTATGCAAGTGTAGGTGATGTTTGGCTAAAAGTACACAACGTTGCACAACGATAGTAAGCTTATTTAAGAACTCCATATTCCAAACGAATCACAGTAAGCGTTAGTTGGAATTCATGAACGAAACCGTGTCACTTCAAACTTAGACCTCCCTTGTTGGGATCATCCTTCGATATGCCAGTAGTGAAAAGTGCAAGATAAAACCCTTTCCATCAAATCATCGGGACATAAAAACAACTAAGAAAGCCAAGTATAGAGATGAACAAGTTGTCAAGTTTCAGGAAACGTTAAGTGACGTAACGAGTTCTTCCTCACAACGCCTAAAAGCAGTTTCCAAACAAAACATGAGTTGGGAGTTTTGTTACATTATTAAAGCCGGCCTTCTAGCTAACAATAATCTAACCATCAAGTCTAGTACCACAGGTGAACGAAAAACCCTGTATTCTGCGAGGTCTTTCTTCCCCGAGCCACCCAATTTGATTTCCCGCTAAAGTCAGCCATGTATAGCAAACAGGTTACAGTCGCTCCTCTGCCACCAGTTCCTCATCCGAAGAGCCCGAAAATCGGTTTATTAATAATTTCATAGCGTATAAAGTTCATAATGGTTCAGCAGAAACGAAACAATTCAAAAAGGAAAACTCTAAGTCAAAGACGTGCGGACACAGTCTTCAGCAGACTGCTCCTTATCAGTGATCGCTTATAATCCTTCTGCATATACATTGAAAGGCAAATTCTAAGTTCCCTTAAATTGTGCGTTTAGTCTTGATGCAATCAGAGCATCAGCTCTCATAGGATTGCTTTCCTACTATGTAGCGTGCTGACTAAGAATAAGCTTGTTCAACATGGCGCTCTTCCCTGTTTGTTCCACTAATGATAGAGCAGCTTTCAAGTGTAAATATAATATGGAGATGATATAATTTTGCTGTAAATCTGCTGTAAAGCGTCCATCGGATTTTTGCCAAATAAATGCCGAAAAGGTCTCGAATCAATCTCATCTGCATTTGGCTTCCTGACTATGTAATTTTTCAAAAAAAAAAGTATGAAGACATACCTCGCGAATATAGAACATTCTCCCGGCGTCATGTTGTATATCGCATGGCCGTGCTAGATAGCCTCCACTAAACCACTCGCTTCCACTGAAACTCAGTTCTTTGGATTCTACTTGTAGAATATTTTAATGGAACTAACTCCTTCTCTCTCCATAGCTTATCTATTCGCATCACATCGCAGGTCGGTCTCTGAGGATTGAATACAAGGACAAACTGGCCGACATCGTGATATTTCCCGCTATGCGTTCGCATTGCGTAGAGATAAGTGCGTCCATCAGCGTCCGCTTCTGATCGAGCAGGGAGCTGGAAGGAACAAAAATTGAGTAATTATCCAATTAGCAATGAAAAGTTGAGCCTACCTCAGGTCGTTCTATATCCAACACCACTGAGTCGCGTAATCGATCATCCTCCTCCGAACTTGAAGATGAATGTGTTTGGGACTTCTAAACAGAGGTATTCGATAAAAACGGCGAAAAGGAGTGCTTTCACTGAGTAACGATCAGATTTTGCTGTGCAAGTACTGTAACTGCATAATTATCAACATCTAAAAGCGGATACGGTCAATCTGAGGCTAGCAAGTGCGACCATAATGTTCGCGCACGCAATTGCCGTAAGAAAATTGTTTAGCAGAGATGTGCGCACGGATGGTCCATCAGCTGTTGCTTACATGCCAGTTCTGGGCAACCCATGGTACTGAGTGACTGAAAAGCGCAGGAGCTGGTCGTTCCACATATTGCGACAAATGAGGACTTCTATGCGTACGCAATCATAAACACTGAGTAGAATTCATTGCTTTTTCAGAATCCTGTTGGTTGAACAACACTAATTGTTTTTCATTAATAAAGATGTCGCGATTAATCTATGAAGGAAAAAGTTTATGGAAAGAATTTGTTTATAAATCATTCGTTAAATGAAGCAGTCTAATGGCTAGTTAAAGAGGAGTAATTGTCAAAAATCCTGATTTCGGCGTTAAGCTTTTCTTCGCTTTCTTGACTAGGCCTACTGAATAACGATATGAATTTTCATGAAATTTGATATGCAACCTTTCACAAGGTATTTCTAGAAAAGCATCCTTATATCTATACCTCATCATCGTCTCGATTCACAACACCATCTGCATTCACGAATTCACTTGTGACGCGAACCGGAGAAAGAGGCCGAGATCTCGGAGTGAGTTTCAACTTCTCCTCATCTTCAGGGAAAGGCCATGTCTGAACATTTTGTATACTGCCTTTCATGTAAG